TGTAGTTAGATTGTTCGTTAACAAATGAAAACTTTCATATTTTTACGTACATTTACCCGCCAGTTATGTATAAAAAACACGTTCACGTTTGTTAAAATGTGGATATCACACTACTCTTTAACTCCCACAAAATACACCTCAATTCAAATTACTTGGAGTGCCGGCAACTTCATAAATGTTGATCTTACTTCCTTCATTCGACGTCAACGTGACGTGAGAAAATGGCGTCGTCTGATCACATGTCAGAAGCAAAGCTGTTACAGCATAAATCCGTATTTCTCCGTAGTTTCACATTCATCAGTAACGTCCATTACGAATAGTCAGAGTAAGTAACAAAACACAAATTTATAGATGATAGTTTATTCAAATTTACACTGTTCAGGACTTTAACATTCTAACACATTGAAACCAAATAGTGTGGAAAATGTACAACTTAGTTTTCCTGGTAGGTGGTAGGTATAACGTACATTGCATTCTTATCCATAATCTTTAAGATTTTCACTTTTGATGTCCAACATTGTCATTGCGGTGATGTTTTGCTATAGAACGTTTTTTTACGGTTTTATCATTCACAACGCAATATTACTTCAGCATTTACCAGTCATTTTTGTCATTCATATGACAGTATTTTCCTTATTATTTGTATGTTCAGTTGTTTTATGAAAATCCAAGCGACACAGGTATGGAGTTTAATAAAATGAAATATCAGCAATCACTGGATCCCCCCATGAATATACATGAATCTTTATATATTAGGGAAAATGTATTGATCTCAATCATATGAGTTATTAATGTGAACACTATTTTAGAAATCTGCAAAAGCGTTCAATGTTGCTTGGCGACAGTAACGTACATTACAAAATTGGTTATTAAAAGCAAATTTGGAAAGTTTGAGGACAACAAGGAAAATCTAACTTTTGTTGCATGGAGTCATGAAGTTGTTGTGTTTTTATAAAAAAAATAAACAAAACTGTCGGCGACAGTAATGCAACGATTTATTGAGAATGTGTGGTGATGAGATGCCCGCACACGGGAAAACATATCTACAGCTTGATAATGTGAATCCCTTTGGATTATGCTTGACGGTGAACTTTTCATCACACGAGAACATCCTCGCAAATATGACCGCATCACGTCTTGACTAGCAACTCAAGTAGGTACGACCCACTGTTTTTTAATTCATGAAATGCATATATTCCTCCCTCGTCCCTACTTTTTCCGAGTATAACTCCCGAGGATAGCTTTGAAATCACTGTCGAGGTGCGCGATTTTGAATTCCAGTGTAATTGTCACGGCGAACGTTCAAAATTACATTTTATGATTACAACGTGCATCTGAAGGCCAAGTACTTAACACAAGGTGAAGAACATCATGATACTTTGAGGTAGCGCCCGTCAACGTGATGGGATACCATGCTACTGTAACGTACCCAGCTAACAATTTCACGTTGTCACAACGTTGTTCTGTGGACTTCCATTTACGTTGTCGCAGCGTTGTCGCCTGACGTTGTGATACGTAAGGTTATTTAATGCTAACATATTTTATGTTGTCATAACATTCTATTTAATTGTTAAATAGTTTTCCCAGTAGTGAACAGTGGACAAGAAACAAAACAGAAATTCAATTCAATGTTTTTTCGTCAATTTCCATGTTGTTTTGATCGTGTGTTTTCTGAAGGTGTAGCTCACAATCGTTTTAAGTCGGTTTTAGCAATAGTCCAGCAGCATCACAGAAGGGGACACCAGAAATGGGTTTCACACATTGTACCCATGTGGGGAATCGAAACCGGGTCTTCGGGTCTACGCAAGTGGGATACGATGACGTGTCAGCGAGTCTGACCACCCGATCCCTTTAGTCGCCTCTTACGACAAGCATGGGTTCCAGAAGACCAATTCTAACCCGGATCGTTACGAGTCTTGCTCTCTAGGGACTGACACAGGTGTGTGTTCCATCGATGATCAGTTTGCTGTCTAGGGACTGACACAGGTGTGTGTTCCATCGATGATCAGTTTGCTGTCTAGGGACTGACACAGGTGTGTGTTCCACCAAGGATCAGTTGGCTCTATAGGGACTGACACAGGTGCGTGATCTATCAAGGATATGTTTGCTTTGTAGATACTGATTACTCTAGAGGATACAGTGGCTGTTTCTCTGTGGTTCTGCACAATACGAACCAGGTAGATCGATATACTGCTCTCAAAGAAAGGTGATGTCGCCCTACTGCATGTCTGAATGCACAATATAGAATAATATTTACGGAGTGATCTGCATAACTTGTGCCATCATACTGCACTTCCAATAAAATTTACATGGAGCAGAAAAGAGACAGAAAGAAATGTTAGAGTGGCAAGGATCTTTGTAGGTTCAAAAGAAATGCCTTGAAGAGGCCAAAACCTACCATCGTAACCTCTCGGTGTACTGGGCAGACCACAGAAAGGTGAATGATTTTGAGCCCACGAATGGATTAGGGTTATTGAGGTAGCTGGAATGTTTTTACCTGTACGTATTCCAGAATCCCAATGTAAACGGCAAACTTCGGACGGAATACAAATGTAGACTAAAGAAAATCTCAAATTCAGACCTGACCACTCCCCAAAAAAAGTCTTCTGACAGTTATCGTATATATAAATAGTCGAATCGCCTGTCGCCTTCTCGTTTAGAAGTTGTTGTATAGGATTGCAATTACAAATGAGTGCTTTCATATGTATATTTGACAAAGGATAACATACGATAGGTATTATGTTACGCCCAACCTGGATACAAACGCACAGGACTCATTGTTCTGATGTGTGCACTGCTTATTTGACTACACTATAATAATTCGACAATACTTCTGTCAATGCCGCACCATATCACATTGTTTGCAGCTATCTGTTACAAGTCAGCCATGAACACGCATCTGCCTTCGGGGTATCCATGTCCCTGTCACAATGAAAGTGAGCTTTTTTTCAGTTTAATACAAAAGAAACGAAATGAAACAGTGGGGCACACAGAAGTGACAATAGTGAAACAATTAGGCCAAAAATTAAACATACAACTTTATGGATGACAACTTCTTATTTATTGCAAAGAGCGACGTTTCGATTTTTTACACCCTTATCAAGTATACTTGATAACGGTGTACAAATGTACATGGCAACGTCGCTCTATGCAATACATAAGAAGTTTGATAACGGTGTAAAAATCTACATCGAAACGTCGCTCTATGCAATAAATAAGAAGTTTTCATCCATAAAGTTGTATGTTTCATTTCTGAGTCACCAACTTCAGGCATGCCGATCGAACATTAAGTATTAAATTACGTCACCAAACACTGACAGTAAGCACTGGAGACCTCGTAGGCCCCAACAATGGGGTAGAAACTGTCCTGCACGTTGAATGTGTATTATCATTCAATCATTTGATATGAAGGAATAGTTTGAAAACGATGGAAGCAGATGGAAGTTAACGGTAGGGGTGGCATGGTGGATGGTGGGGGAAACATGGTGAGGAATGGGGTTAGCATGTGTGTGTGTGTGTGGGGGGGGGGGTTGCTAAGATTATGGGCGGCTTGTTTGGGGAGAGAGAGAGAGAGAGAGAATGGGCCTAGATAAATATCTGTATTTACATTATGGAATATTTTATATTCCTTGTCAATTAAACTTGTTGCCTCACTGAGTGATCGAAAGAACTTTTTTTCCGACAAAAACTGGCATTATTCTTCAACATTCATTTTGTTACCAGTGGTATCGTGTTTTCGTCCTTTCAAATATTTACAAGTGAGGAAGCAGGGAAAGTGTGATTTGTATCTGGTACCAGAAATTAGAAAATGTCGTATAGTTTCCACGAAGTGTTGACTTAACAACATGTCACCATATACTGAATTAGTAATGCAATTTAATGAACTTAGTTTTTCGTACTGTAGCCGTACAAAATATAATCATATCTTCGTGTATTCGTATTTGTTGCGGCGCTCAGGGCAATATTCCACTTGAGCCTTGGGTAATGTCAAATACACTTTTCATTTTCTTTCCACCTATTCTAAAAGTATCGCGTTTTAGAACGAATCGGAATTCCCTTGATGACGTCATATTTTGAACACGTGAGATGAACTTGTCAGGGCTTGAAGGGCAACAAGCAATATTTCTCGCTCTGCAGCGCAAACTCAAGGTATGCATGGAACCTTTGAGATTTTCATTGCTGCGTCATGAATCAAGATGATGGCTCATTTAAATTATAGTGTTAATGTTTCGTACATTTTGCAAAGATGCTGATGATCTATACTTGGAGGATGTTTATGTTTATTTACATCGACAAATGGTGTTATCAAAGAAAAATTAAATTTGCATCTACGGACTTAAATATGTCTTTTCTTTTAAAGAAACCCAAATTAGAATGTACCATTCAGATAGTTATCCCAAATGTAACCGTTTTACATCTGTTCACTATCTGTAAGACTACCGAATCTAGTACTTTTTGGTATTTGAGTACAACAAAAAGTGCTAGACTCGGTATTCTTACAGATAGATGGATGGAGAAAAAAATTATAAGGCGCGCAGATATAATAGGGTATAAAACACAAATTGTCAAGTCGTTTTCTGATAGAAATTCCATTTCTGAGCATTGTGTCTTGATATTGTAGCTTCCATTTTCGATAGTTTACAAAACTTTCCTTGAAACTCTTCCGTTGAAACTTGTCAACGTGAACCTGTGTTTCTTTCATCGAACGATGATATGCCCGATCATTACTGTAGCCATTACTGTTGAAGTCACAAATACACGATATGTTATCGCATGAAATCAGATATAATGTATGATGAATTTTTTTGCAACGCATGCGACTGACCTAATGCGTTGCAAAATTTGCGCAACGGGCCAATGTACCAGTCTTCAGTTTTGGTAGACAGGAGCCAAGTCAAGATTCGTCCGTAAATCAGATGGGTACCCTTCATATCTACACAAAGCTTGTGGTATGGGCAAGGAGCGCAAGCGCTCAAGAGCAGGTGCACCAGTCTACTCGGTGGTAATCGTGTCTTCCGAGAAAAGCCGAGGTCTCAGGGGAGGTAATAGAAACAGGTACGAAGACAAACACTTCAGCTGAGACACTTCATCTAACAGAATGGTAAGAATAGCCCTCTTTGTATTGTTTTGAACGTTATTATATAAGAGTTTGTTTTCTAAGATATTCATAATATTTTTGTTTTGTTTTTTTCAGGCGAGGTTCTTTGATCAGCAGAAGATTGACGGTGAGTTTATAAGTGTCACTGACCACACCCATGTTTGCATGACAGTCCGATATGCATATGGAAATTATGTGCAGGAACTTCCACAACTTCAGGTCGGCCGAACCAGGAAACAAATTAAATACTTTGTTTACTTCCACAATCGATAAGTTTTTATTCTGCCGATCTCTCTCCACAGAGGCTTGTAACGCTAACAACTGCCATCAAGGTATGTAGTGTCACTAACGGGGTCTTATCACTACATATAAAAGGATCGGTCTTATCACTACATATAAAAGGATCCTTTTATATGTAGTGATAAGACCCCGTTAGTGACACTACATCCTCCCTGGATGGCAGTTGTTAGCGTCTACAAGCCTCTCTCTCTCTCTCTCTCTCTCTCTCTCTCTCTCTCTCTCTCTCTCTCTCTCTCTCTCTCTCTCTCTCTCTCTCTAAACATTTGGAAGTGTATTTTCATTTCCCAGTGATTTTTACGTTTTTATTCTTTTTCACTCCTAATACCAGCAGAAGTGCTACTGTGATGTTTTTAAGTACTTTGGAACTTAGTAAATCTGTTCGATAAGGGATAGATTTTTCAGTCAGTTTGTAAAATGACAGAAATATCTCTGCATTTCACGAATTGCAGACGAATTGCCTAAAAGTATCATATTCTCACATATAGTGGATGGTTGGGTAGTCTAGTGGTAAAAGTGACAGAAATATCTGCCGATGATATATAATTTCTCTCTCTGCATTTCACGAATTGCCTAAAAGTATCATATTACATATAGTGGATGGTTGGGTAGTCTAGTGGCTTGCCGATGATATATTTACTTCTGTCAACTAGTGTTGATATATTTGATATCAGAAGACGCGAGGGTGAGATTCTATTTATCATAAAAAATCGCTCATCTTTAGTTTTCAATGAAAAATGTACCGGGTACATCGCTGAACATAGTACTGCCATTAGACTTGCAGTGCAGCGATGTCATAGCATTGTGACATCATCAAGTTTATGACATCTTATCGTATCTTCATGTAAAATACTTTAATTTCATTGGTCAATGATGGTTTAACAAGTTTCCTCCCAGGAGGGTGACAACTGGAAAAAATATAACCCGCTGCCACGGTAACCGGCAAGCTCTCCGCTGAGAAGCTGAAGCGCTAAGAATCGTGATTCACTGATTTCAAAAATCCAGTCGAGAGGCCGACGCCATTTTGTTTGCATGTCATATAGTCGTTAACAATCTTTAACATAAAATAAAATGATATTTTGTACATTTAACATGGCGTTAAGATAAATACGTTATATGCTTCTCCCTCGGGTAATACGGTCAGATGTACGCCTCTTTGTAGCAGTGTCATCCCTCCCCTTCCAGCTTGGGTGACACTGTTACAAAGAGGCGTACATCAGACCGTATTACCCTCGAGAGAAGCATACAACTTATAATGTAGCATTGTGATGTCATCAGGTTTTTTGATGTCATAGCATTGTGAGTCATGTAATTGATGTCAGGGCATTGTTCAAAATCTACTGTCAAAACGAAATCTCCTTTGAGATACACACAAGCAATATCTCCAGTAGAACACAGTTTTGGATGATAAAATGTGTGAAGCCCATTTCTGGTGACCCCTGCCGTGACATAGACCGAACTCGGTTGCACGAGCCATAAATCAATGCATTTTGTTTATGGTGTATATAGCCTGATAGGTGTTAAGTTCAAATTGCATGTGGTCAGTGATCGAAGTTGTGTATTGCATATTGTCATTAGCAGACAGGCAGGCAGACACATAAGTGTCAATAAAACTGACATTGAGTCTGATATCTATATCACAGGTAGAAATGAAATTATATAAACTGTTAAATCGGTAATCTACTGTCATAACATATAGAAAGCTCGTGCCTGTGAACTATCAACAAAACATTAGAAAAATAGCTCACATCAAAGCCTTCACCGAGTACTTGAAACGTCGAACGCCTCACTGGTTGACAGATAGCTGAGTAGATCTAGATCCAAACAAGGTTCTTTTATGTAACGAGTAGATTATTTACTATTTGTTTTGAGTAGACTACTCCTGCTCACAACCTTATAATCTGGACATCCCGCTTCCAAGCTGCGCGAACCTATTTAGTCGCGATGCGCGCTATGCTTAGCAGCAGCTTAGGCTGCCCAGCTGTTGAAACCACTTTTCACCCCAAGCTGGGGTGAATTTTATGAATCGTTTGAACTCTAATTTCGTGGGGGGGGGGGTTCATCGCGTTACCTTTCAACTTTATAAGTTGAATTTGCATTTTTGATGATTGTATCTGTAAGTCCTAACTGAAAGGTATCAGAATCTGCAAAGTTGTGTTTTACATCTCACATTAAACATCAGCTGGTGTCTCACATTAAGCATCAGTTGGTGTCTTACATTAAACATCAGTTGGTGTCTCACATTAAGCATCAGTTGGTGTCTCACATTAAACATCAGTTGGTGTCTCAGATTATACATCAGCTGGTGTCTCACATTAAGCATCAGTTGGTGTCTCACATTAAACATCAGCTGGTGTCTTAAACATCAGCTGGTGTCTCACATTAAACATCAGCTGGTGTCTCACATTAAACATCAGTTGGTGTCTCACATTAAACATCAGCTGGTGTCTCACATTAAACATCAGCTGGTGTCTCAGATTAAAGATCAGCTGGTGTCTCAAGACATTAAACATCAGTTGGTGTCTCAGATTAAACATCAGCTGGTGTCTCACATTAAACATCAGCTGATGTTTCAGATTAAACATCAGCTGGTGTCTCACATTAAACATCAGCTGGTGTCTCAGATTTAACATCAGCTGGTGTCTCACATTAAACATCAGCTGGTGTCTCACATTCAACATCAGTTGGTGTCTCACATTAAGCATCAGTTGGTGTCTCACATTAAACATCAGCTGGTGTCTCACATTAAACATCAGTTGGTGTCTCACATTAAACATCAGCTGGTGTCTCACATTAAGCATCAGTTGGTGTCTTACATTAAACATCAGTTGGTGTCTCACATTAAGCATCAGTTGGTGTCTCACATTAAACATCAGTTGGTGTCTCACATTAAACATCAGCTGGTGTCTCACATTAAGCATCAGTTGGTGTCTCACATTAAACATCAGTTGGTGTCTCACATTAAGCATCAGTTGGTGTCTCACATTAAACATCAGTTGGTGTCTCACATTAAACATCAGTTGGTGTCTCACATTAAGCATCAGTTGGTGTCTCACATTAAACATCAGTTGGTGTCTCAGATTAAACATCAGCTGGTGTCTCACATTAAGCATCAGTTGGTGTCTCACATTAAACATCAGTTGGTGTCTCGCTATACATTTGTATCTCACTTTGTATTTGCAGAATTTAAAGAGTGCTTCTACTTCCATGCACGGAAAGGCTTTATCCAGCAAGAGGGAGACTTGAACATCATCATGAGGTCCCTGGCCTATAGTCCCACCAGACAGGAAGTCCACAATTACTATGTGAAGTGTTCATCTAAAGACCCCAACAGTAGGTATACAACTGACGTGTGGTCAGTCACCTTGCAAATACAGCTTGCCTGTGGGTACTATCTGCAGGTTCCATGCATCTAAAGACCCCAACAGGAGGTATACAACTGACATGTGGTCAGTCACCTTGCAAATACAGCTTGCCTGTGGGTACTATCTGCAGGTTCCATGCATCTAAAGACCCCAACAGGAGGTATACAACTGACGTGTGGTCAGTCACCTTGCAAATACAGCTTGCCTGTGGGTACTATCTGCAGGTTCCATGTATACTTTGTAGAACTGAACTTAACCTGTTGATACTGAAGGTTTAGTTAGTTCCTGAGTTTGCAGTGTGAGCTGTTGATGCTGCTTCTGAGTCTGCAGTGTGATCTGTTGATGATGCTGGAAATTGTTGTTAGTTCCTGAGTCTGCAGTGTGATCTGTTGATGATGCTGAATTGTTGTTGAGTTAGTCTGTTGACCTCTTGAGTCTGCAGTGTGTGCTGTTGATGATCTGTTGATGATGCTGCAAATTGTTGTTAGTCTGCAGTGTGAGTCTGAAGTTGATCTGAGTCTGCAGTGTGATGATGCTGAAATTGTTGTTAGTTCTTGAGTCTGCAGTGTGATCTGTTGATGATGCTGAAATTTGTTGTTAGTTCCTGAGTCTGCAGTGTGATCTGTTGATGATGCTGAAATTGTTGTTAGTTCCTGAGTCTGCAGTGTGATCTGTTGATGATGCTGAAGTTGTTGAGTCTGCAGTTCCTGAGTCTGCAGTGTGATCTGTTGATGATGCTGAAATTGTTGTTAGTTCCTGAGTCTGCAGTGTGATCTGTTGATGATGCTGCTGAAATTGTTGTTAGTTCCTGAGTCTGCAGTGTGAGGTGTTGATGATGCTGAAATTATTGTTAGTTCCTGAGTCTGCAGTGTGAGCTGTTGATGATGCTGAAATTATTGTTAGTTCTTGAGTCTGCAGTGTGATCTGTTGATGATGCTGAAATTATTGTTAGTTCTTGAGTCTGCAGTGTGATCTGTTGATGATGCTGAAATTATTGTTAGTTCTGAGTCTGCAGTGTGATCTGTTGATGATGCTGAAATTATGCTGAAATTATTGTTAGTTCTTTCTGCTGAGTCTGCAGTGTGATCTGTTGATGATGCTGAAATTAAATTGAGTCTTGTTGTTGATGATGCTGAAATTATTGTTAGATCTAAGTCTGCAGTGTGATCTGTTGATGATGCTGAAATTATTGTTAGTTCTTGAGTCTGCAGTGTGATCTGTTGATGATGCTGAAATTGTTGTTAGTTCTTGAGTCTGCAGTGTGAGCTGTTGATGCTGCTGAAGTTGTTGTTAGTTCTTGAGTCTGCAGTGTGATCTGTTGATGCTACTGAAATTATTGTTAGTTCCTGAGTCTGCAGTGTGATCTGTTGATGCTGCTGAAGTTGTTGTTAGTTCTTGAGTCTGCAGTGTGATCTGTTGATGCTGCTGAAATTGTTGTTAGTTCCTGAGTCTGCAGTGTGATCTGTTGATGCTGCTGATGCTGCTGAAATTGTCGTTAGTTCCGCTGAGTCTGCAGTGTGATCTGTTGATGCTGCTGAAGTTGTCGTTAGTTCCTGAGTCTGCAGTGTGATCTGTTGATGCTGCTGAAATTGTCGTTAGTTCCTGAGTCTGCAGTGTGACTAGTTTCTAAGCCTCTGTGTTGGTGCTTACAGCCCCAGGCCGGATCGACTTTGCCTCCTTCTTGGACGTGATGCATGAGCACAGTGAGGTGGAGAACTGCGAGACTGAGATGCTGCAGGGATTCCGGGCACAGGATGATGGCAAGAGGGGAACTGTGTCTGCCACAGAAATGAGACACATCCTGATGACCATGGGAGAAAAGCTGAGTAGGAATGAAGGTTTGTTGTGTATAATGCTTTTAGTGGTGGTCTGATTAACTGAAATAATCGAAGATTGGTCATAATGACTAAACAACCAAGCAATCAATCATGTTTTCTCATAATCGAACTCAAACAATTTTGGAACACCTGTTTGCATTTGCAACATTTTTCACTAGGTTGGTTTTGTCTGTTACATTTCATAAGCGCTACATGCTCGTTCCAAGTCATGATTGAAATTATCTTAAAGACTTCAGGAAATTTATGTTCCTAACATACTAGTCACCCTTTAAAGATGTGAAATTTTTGCAGATGCATTTTATGCAATTTGCAAAAACACTCGAAATAACGACATGTTTTTTTCTTTATTTTTTTGTGTGCATTAACAAACAACCAGGAAAATTTGATAAATTATGCTAACCAATTATCTTTGATGTTTGATTGGTTGTAATGAACCAATCATCAATTATGAGATTTTAACCAACTCCCAACACTAAATGCCACACCCATCAATAGTCTTGCTGATAGGGGTCTGTAAATTGTCTGGACCAGACAATCCAGTGATTGATAATGGGAACAATGATGCATGCACTGAAGTTATACAGTCTGACAAGCCAGTCTAGCAGGTTGCTATTTATGACATGTGTGGGAGCTAGTGGTCATTTAAATCATGGTCAGCACAGTCTGGATATACACGTAGAGGTTTATGATTTATTGTGTGTATTTTAACAAATATTCCTTATAAGTAATTTTTATGAAATGCAGAGAAGCACTCTTGATTCCACACTGTAACAAACTGTAGGGTACCAAACCAAGGTAACAGGTTATTTCACCCCAAACACGTTCACCCTAGCACAGTTTCACCCTAGGCTGTTTCACCCCATACAGTTTCACCCCATTTAGAGTTTGTTTCACCCAGCAAATAGTTATTATTATTATCAACTATAACATTGTTTCCATTCAGATTGTTTGAATAACTGTATCAGTTCATATTGGCTGTGTTGGATCGGGTGAAGTCCTATACAGACACGATAAAAAAGTAAATAGTCAGTTTATTGAATAATAACAATTTACAGATTAAATTTACTCGTTGGATATTTGAAAGGCATCAATTAAACATTATTTATCGAATGCCTGTGGGTATATATGGGTGGGTCTATAACAGCACTGTGTAACATGCAGACAGACATACAGAGTCGGCTGAGGCAGATCTCCAAACATGCAGTCGCCATGGCAGAAATGCAAGTGTAATATCTAACTCATTGTCGACGTATTTAAATGTTTTAAGCGTGATGAGGTGAGGTGAGATGAGATGAGATATAAGCTTATGTCCTATGTGCCATCTCAACACAGACACAGTAGCAGTTACTTGATTGTTGTAAAACATTGCCTAGTTAGGATTAGCAGATTTAAGAATTAATACCATTCACCATGTATACTCAATTTGTTGGGTGAAACAACTCATGATTAGCGGTGAAATATGATGGGATGAATTGACCTAGTTTGGAACTGGGATGAAACAACCTTGTGAAAGTACTTGGGGTGAAACGACCCGGAACCCAAAACCAACAGGGTCTATACTGTATTGTGCTTTGTTATGTGTATTTGTAGTGGACAGCCTCTTCCAGGAGAACGGCTTGAACCCACGCGCCGAGGTGCAATACCAGAGGTTTGTAGACACCATCATGACGCCATCACCAGACTACTAGACTTCCTCCAACTTCAGTCACATTGACTAAACAAGAATCGCCTCTGATGGAGACAGACAACAGCATCATCAAAGAACGTTCAGCATTCAGCAAGGCATCATTGCTGCTGATTCTGGCTTACATTCCACAGTGTGGCAGCACTTGATGAGGCAATGCAATTAGGTTGTGAACATTCATCATTGTTTATCAAACACTACATTGAAGTTATACAGCACTACATAATTCCACTGTATATTGATCATGGTAATACACAGGTTGGGGCGTGGATGGACGTCAGGCTGTATGTAATTCATTACCACCTTTCTATTAACAATCATAGTTAAATCTGTATGCTGTAATATATGATATGTGATATATCTTCATTAAATCTATGCAATGCCAGAATAGACTTGACTTGTTTTGTTCTACAGCTAATTTTCAACAAGCATGGAATATTCACCACCAAAACAGTTTGACATGTCATATAAAAAATGTGAACCAATATATTCCTTGGTTTGGATAGATTATCAGGGTTCAAAATATCCTATATATTAGCGTGCCATGGCACAGTAAATATTGAAATGACACAGATAAAAAAAAGTTCTTGGTGCCCTTAAGGCATGCCTAAAGTTTTAGAGACATAACACAGTGTATGAAATAAGCCAAAAACCCCGCCAGGCGTCAGGGCTCGTAACTTCAAAATGTTACCAGTCCAAAATGGATTTAACCAGACCAGACACCAAGATATATGGTGAATTTACTCAGATGTATGGAACATCTAAAAAATTTACCAGACCATCGGACTGGCTAGCTGTAAATTATTTCATACACTGCATAACACACCTTTAGTCATTTAATCCCCAAAACAAAACACATACGCAAATGACAAACAGGCAAAAACATTTATTGACTTTATTGCCAAGGAAATCACTGGAATTATGATGGATGATATTAAGAAATGTGGTTGTTTTCCATGTAGAATGTTGTGAGTACTGATAGTTCGGTTAGTGAAGAGGAAATTGTGTATGTTAGATATACTGAAAAAGTGAACCTGTCACAAAATTCTCAGCTATTAAGGTGTTGGGAAAGTAGAACAAATGAAGCTTCATAAAGACATCTTAAACAGAAGACATATCAGTGATAACAGAAAACAGGTTCAAATGATCATCATCATTGCTACAGTCATTTACTCTGGAAAACATGTGCCACAGTGGGCACACTTGATTTTTGAAAGGCACATTTAAAATCTTTGCATGGTGCCCTAAGGCACACTTAGAAAAAAAGTGTATTTTTGTCTTATCCTGACTCATGATCTTTTGCTTATCTCCCTTTTCCTTTCGAATGGTAGTGGACTTGAATCCCTTGAAGTTCCCGAAGCGGATGTAAAAATAGACTCACCCACGAGTTACCTCCCTTTTGCCCTTTCCCGCGCAAACAGTCATGTGACCAGCCTTACTTGTCACTCTCTCTGGTTGGTTGGGCGAGCACTGGAGTCCCATATACGGCATTATATCATTTTTATTCTCCTATTCTTCAAAATTACGCTGTGTATGGATTTGGCAATAGCTACTTTGTATTATATGTAAAAAAAAAATGTAAAAATTATTTGTATTTGTGTCAAAATTTCATCGTTATGTAACTTTGTTTACATTTCATGAAATCTTGCAGTGTTTGCAGGCACAGGTTATCCGGTGGCTGATCCTCACCCCAATGCCCTTCGTGCATAAAACCATGTTCTTCCAGCTTGCGCTGTACTTATTGTGTTAATTTATCAAATCTACAATTTAATCAATATTTGTCTTATATCTATAGACGTGCCATGGATCAGGTGAGGAAGTCATCTCAAGTCATGGCTGATTAAACAGGAGATCAGCCTGCAAACCGTATGCTGCTTGCTACTGCTGAAATTCATAATACTGGTGCTATGTTGAGTATGTTGCAGGGGCAGTCTGCTGGTACGGGGGCTAAGAAGAGATCAGCTACAACGCAGTTGACTCCAACTCAAGCTAAGAAAAAGACGTCATCCTCTTCTACATCGCAGAAGAAAGCATCTACGCGGGCTAGTAAGTCAACGCATCAGAAATCCTTCAACGAAGAGATATTACTCCACATGAAGTAGACGTTTTTGATGATCCCCCATTACTTCTACCCGAAGTACCTACGAGATCAGCAACTCAATCGACTTCTACGACTACTAGATCGTCTCCTGCAACCGTCACAGCAGGACAGCTGTTTGATGAACTACCACTTACTTCTCAACGGAGGCACAAGTCGAGGCACAGAACTCATTCTTTACACCGCAGCAGTTTCAACCAACGCAGAATTTTGACCCGGGTGAATTTATGAGACAATTCACCAACCAGATGATGACCATGATGAAACGCAGGTTCGAGGAAGAAGCGAAGGCTCGGCAAAGCCTCTCATCTACCGACACCGTGCACAAACCTACGGACCTGCGCGAACCTACTCCTCAGAGAACTACGTCTCAAGACTACGTTGGCGAACGTACACCTTTGCGAAGGTCTCCACAGTGGTACGACTCTGTCATCTTGGAGGAGGATAGAAGACATGAGATGCCTACTCATCGTTCTACATCTGCGAACCCTCAATGTTTCGAGAACATCGAAGGATCCATCTCCTACACCTAGCCGCTTTAGATCGAGATCTCATATCTCTCACAGACGTTCGCAAAGTCACTCATCACGAGACAGAGGTTCGCGAAGAGGAGGCTCACATCACAGAAGTTCACGAAGGGATACATCTTGCGACAGACGTTTGTGAAGAGAAAGCTCACATCACAGAGGTTCGTGAAGAGAGGACTCTCAAGATAGACATACGCGTAGGGAGGAATCTGCAGACAGAGGTTCGCGAAAGGATGATGAAAGTTCGACAAGGGATACAGGTTCGCAGATGGATGATACGAGGAGGCCTAGCTCTAATAATCAGGAGATACTGGATGAGCAAGCGGACTTCGTCTTCCCAGACGCAGAGGTTACAGATTGGATTGCCAACGGGTTGAACTTGGAGTCTCCTTCTAAGCATAAAGATGAAATCTACTTATATGATGTGTAACGACGACTTTTACTCCGTCACTATCCCTCTGATTGAACCTATATCCAAGGTACCCTCCAACCTTCGCAAGTACCAGAGTCAGCATTTGCCATCATTTGATGTAAAGAGATTACCCTTACATCATATGGATCCATTTACAAAGGCGCCTGAATGGGATGATAACATAAAGTTAGTCAACGACTCCCGGAACAAGATGTATAAAGTAGAAGATAAAAAGTTATCTCAACTCGATACTGCTACAAGGAGATCCTTTTTCGGGTTGGCCAGGTCCAGAGCTATCAATGAAGCATTGATCAATAAATTCCAGAACTCAAGTTCGGAAGAGGCCAGAATGATATATTCGACGCTCAGAACTCAGAAGGACCAATACTATTTATCGGACCAACTGGCATCTATATCTGCAGGTCTCACTTTACTACGCAGACAAGAGCTACTTGCATCCTGTCCATGGAGTGACAGATTCACCCAATCGCTACTGAGAGCTCCATGGGAGGCGCCTACTATCTTTGGAGGACAAATAGACGATGCAGCTAAGGAAGCTACGCACGACTCTAGAGAAATAAGGATGATAACATACATAGACACTCTAGCCAACTTCATCTGTCATACTCCGCAAAAGTATAACAGCAAGTCCAAATATTCCAGCATACAGAAGGCAAAGGAGAAGAAGTACTCCAGCTTCAGAGGCTGCAAAGGATCTTTTCGTCGCCCATCCGGAAATTACAGAGGAAACTCAGGGAGAGGCTGACTCCCAGAGGAACTAGACGTTGATATCAGGGTTCGGAATGACTGGAGTCTTCCACCCCCAGCTGTTCCTGTAAAACCATTGACAGTGGGTGGACATCTACAAAGGTACTGGAAAAAATTGGGGAATACTAGAGGATGACTACGTCTCCCAAGTACTACGAGAAGGATACAGAGTACAACTCAAGGCCACACCTCCGCTAACCCTCAGCCCGATGGTCTTCGACTATGCAGAGCGGCAGGCAGACAAACTACAAGAAGCCATCAACTCACTACTTATGAAGGAGGCGGTAGAGATAGTAGATCAGCATCATCTCACTCCAGGCTTATACTCCCCAATTTTCTAGTACCCAAGAAGAACTCCAAGGAGATGTTCACACTGATTTACAACATGTGCAAATTCAACAAAGACTATCTACTGAAACCAGACAGGTTCAGAATGATCCACCTACCTCAACTCAGACTACTCGTCCGTCCAGCAGATTACATGGCCAGCATAGACCTGCAGGATGCGTACCTACACATCCCCATACATCCGGAATCAAGAAAGTATTTACGATTCCTATTCAGAGGGTAGCACTTCCAATGGAACGTCCTACCGTTTGGAATATCTTCAGCTCCGTGGCTATTCACATGAGTAACCAAGCCTATAGTCGCATATCTACATCATCGAGGTCTACGCAATGCCTTCTACTTGGACGACTGAATTCAGGTTCACCAAGATGCCAGTCAACTCAGACTACAACTGAACTTCACAATCAAGTTGCTCACTCAACTAGGATGGCTGGTGAACCTTATGAAGTCAGAGTTGGAACCAAAACAAGATCTGCAATTTCTGGGGATAAGGTTTATCACAACACAGAATCGTATTGTCGTCCCAGAAGATCGTTGGGTCAAGTAACAAGCCATGATTCAACTAGCAGTCATCTCTCCGTTAACACTACGATCATGGCAAGTTCTACTCGGTCTACTAACCTCGGCGCAGGACTTGACTCGCACAGGAAGGTTACAACTAAGACCGCTGCAACGGGTCCTGACAAAACATCTAGACAGCGTCGACCCAATCTGGCTGCCAGACAACCTCAAGAGGTATCTACAGTGGTGGACACACAGGTCGAACATTTGCGGAGGGACCTATTTACAAGAGCCGGCCTTTGACACACATCTCTACGCAGACGCTTCGATACAAGGCTAGGGTGCGCATCTAAACAATCAAGTTGCATCAAGAAGGTGGTCCAAAATAGAGCAGCATCTTCACATCAATCTGCTGGAGATGAAAGCCGTGATCAACGCCTTACAACTATTGTCGAGCTCGCTGAACAACAAAATGCTGATGGTCCACACGGACAACTCTACAGTGGCATTCTCCATAAATCGGCAAGGATCCACAAGGTCTCCAAGCCTGCTACAGCTCACATTCCAGTTGTTCCACATCACGGAGGAAGCAAACATCTGGATAAAGGATACCCGGAGCCAAGATCGTATTTGCAGACGCTCTCTCCCGACCACTGCACCCGTCACCTACGGAATGGATGCTCCATCCAGAAGCGTTCCGGCTCATCATAAGGGAAATAGGATCCCCTGTTTGCCACGAGGTTCAACAAACAACTACAGACGTTTGTCTCACCAGTTCCAGATCCTCAAGCCTGGGCAAAAGATGCACTGAGCATATCTTGGGAAGGACTAAACGCTTACGCGTTTCCACCCCCGATAATACTTCCAGAAGTACTGTTGAAGATCAAACAGACACAGGCGCTACAACTGACTTTGGTCGCGCCATACTGGCCAGCGAGAGTATGGTTCCTAGACCTAATAGAAGATTTCGGAAGTCCCAACAATCAAGTTACCAGATTGGCCAAACCTACTCATACATCCACACATCAAGCAAGTCCACGGGAACCCGTCAGCGTTCCAGCTACACGTGTGGACCATATCAAAACATGTTTGAAGAAAAGAGGATACTCCACCAGGGCAGCCGAGGCAGTAACGCTAGCGTTAAGCAGATCTATTCGTAACCTCTATGATGACAAGTGGCTGAAGTTTGAGACTTATGCAAGGCGGAAAGGCTTCATTGCGATGAAAGCCTCTCATCCTCAAGTGGCGGAATACCTGTGTTCTCTTAGACAGACCAGACATCTGAAAGGTTCGACATTATCTACATACCTCGCCGCCATCAGTACAGTACCATGAAAACAGGCATCAAGTTGACGAAAGTACCAGAATTACTTGCTCTGTTGAGATCTTTTAAACTGGAGGACCAGCAAAGAAGTTCAGAGCTCCAGCCTGGGATCTGAATGTAATTCTACGTCATCTTACGAGTGATGCCTACGAACCTCTAGACCAGACTACCCTCGAGCTGCTGACACAGAAGAGACTGTTCCTGCTTGCGCAAGCCATGGCAGCTCGAATATCAGAGATACATGCGCTGGACTTTGGTCGAACCAGATTCGACACGGGGCAACATGCTGCAGTTCATCTGGGACTTAGATGGGACTTCATTGCCAAGAACCAACTACCTGGTCAGCCAGATAGGACAGTTCCACCTACCAGCGCTATCTACAATCCTTGGACCAGAGGATATAGAGGACTTATCCTTGTGTCTGGTCAGAGCCCTGAAGATATATCTTCAAAAGACTAAGACAAGGAGACGGAAATTCAAGCGCCTGTTCATCCCATTATCCACAGAGACATCAGCAGAAGTCTCAAGAACGACCATATCGTTCTGGATGAGAGCCGTCATATTGAGAGCCTATAAAGCAGCAGGACTAGAACCTCCTAGAGCTTCCAACCCACATGAAGTCAGAGCACTGGCGTGAACACTGGCTGTGCATGGAAATTACTCTATATCTGCAATTATGGAGGGCTGCTCTTGGAAGTCGGACACGGTGTTTGCCAACCACTACCGCCGAGGCATAGCCACTGAAGACGTCTCAGGCATTCACCAATTTGGGCCTCTTGTTGTAGCACAGCAAGTAACGGTTCCTCAAAGGCGCTGAGTTGGAAAATCTCACCCTTTATCACGTTGACTTGTTGATAACTTTTACTAAGGAAAAGTATTAGTTTGAAAGTCCATGCGCACAGTCTAGGACAGGCTAGCATGAGTGATTAAAGATCCTGTACGGGTAAAGATCTTACCTGTACGTCAAGGGGTCGCAACTCATTTATGATAAAGATCTTATCATAATCTATGGGTTGTTATAAGATATCTAGTAATAAGAAGATACTAGTTTATCTGTAGCCACATGAATCAACATGATTCAACTTGTCTGAGACTGAAGTAAGACAAGAAAGTGCTCCCCCCGAGTTATAACTGAAGTTGGAAGAATAGGATCACGGAAATGCCGTTTTGCAGTTCCCATGGGGATACAGGACGTATGTAAGGACATAACAGCTGATGAATCCACAAAGTGGCTTGACCCACCACCAATCAGTCGGATTCTATAAGCTAAAGATCATGAGTCAGGATAAGAAAAAATATGTAATTTTTCAAGTAAAATTGATATTTTTATACTTATCCCGACTCATGACGAGAAGCCCTCCCAACCTCCCCGCTGGAAACACTTCGGATTTCACAGCCGATCCAAGTGCATGGGCAGAAAATCAGGAGAGAGTGACATGTAAGGCTGGTCACATGACTGTTTGCGCGGGAAAGAGCAAAAGGGTGGTAACTCGTGGGCGGGTGTATTTTTACGTCCGCTTCGGGAACTTCAAGGGATTCAAGTGTTCCACTACCATTCGAAAAGAAAAGGGAGATAAGCAAAAGATCATGAGTCAGGATAAGTATAAAAATATATATTTCACTTGAAAATTTACATTTTTATCCGTGAAATTATTCAGTACATGGTCCGTATTCAGTAAAGATTCTATTGGTTTTGAACACGTGAAGGTCCGGGTTACAATATTGATCTTCAGCAACCCATACTTGTCTTAAGAGGCGACAAAGGGGATCGGGTTTTCAGGCTCGCTGACTTGGTTGACACGTCATCGTCATCGTATCCCAATTGCATATCGATAATCATGCTGTTGATCAGTGGATTGTTTGGACCAGACTCGATTATTTGCAGACCGCCGCCATATAGCTGGAATATTGCCGAGTGTGGCGTAAAATTAAACTCACTCACTCACTTACTGGTTTTGAAACAAAAAAATATGCATATTTTGGCATTGACTCGAGTGAATGTACTGAATGCAATCTTTCTCTTTGTCCAGAGGAATGTGTATCTCATCATCTCTTCTTTGTCTTGCTGGAGTAAGTGAAGCTGAACCTGTATGTAACAATATATGGGTAACACTATTTTTCAGGGCATTATCATTTGCAGAAGCCCGAGGTCTTTCATTAACTGCTCTATGAAGGTTAGAATTGATCTTCAGTAACCAATGCTTGTCGTAAACTGCAACTAACGGGATCGGGTGGTCAGGCTTGCTGACTTGGTTGACACGTCATCGTCATCGTATCCCAGTTGCATATCGATAATCATGCTGTTGATCAGTGGATTGTTTGGTCCAGACTCGATTATTTACAGACCGCCCCCATATAGCTGGAATATTATGAAGTGCAGCGTAAAACTAAACTCACTCACTTACGTATATCTCCTATGAAGGCTTTCCTTTCACAGCTGAATCTGTTGTAGTGTGTACTGGAAAACCAGTTAATTAAAGCTAGTGAATAGAATGTATGGTGCAACACATTTACTTCAGATGGTGAATGTGTGTACCACACTTCGTAAAGACATTTATAGTTTTTCAATTATGCTTCAGGAATGAAACTCATTCCTTAAATTTATTTCAGGGAACAAGTCCAAATTTATAAATGTTACATTTAAATATTATATATTCACAGGAATTATAAATAGCAAAAGAAACTTCTACATATAATGAATCATTAATGATGAATGTGTGCAGTAAGTATTGTATAAATATCTCTTAGTTTTTCAGTTCTGCTCTAGAAATGAAACCTACTGCAACCACAAGGAGACCCGTCTAATCTTGTGGAATCTCAGTAGCAAAAGACACATCTGTTGCATGTGTAAACCTATCTATTTGCCAAGTTTGTTGAAGAAATATTGCATGGTTTTCAAAATCTGTACTGGAAACGAGCACAACTGACTTTTCCAGCCATAGTCAAAGTTGATGCTATGGAAGCTAGAAACATTTTTCAAAACTCCCCAACAATCCAAAGCCACTAGTTCACCAGTAGACCTATCCATGTGCCATGTTTTGTAAAATAAAATATTGGACGATGTTCAAGATCTGCCCAGGAAACGAAAAGTGACAAACTCCATTTCCATATTCCCTGCCAGTTTCAGTTTCATCTTTTTTTTGGGGGGGGGAATTTATTGAGGCTGAAATGTAACAAGTGTGCATACTGTGCATGGCCAACTACAGTTGTTCTCAGAGAGGTGACCCGTGGAGATCCGGGTTAGAATTGGTCTTCAGCAACCCATGCTTGCCATGCTTGTCGTAAGAGGCGACCAACAGGATTGGGTGGTCAGGCTCGCTAACTTGGTTGACACATGTCATCGGTTCCCAATTGCGCATACCGATGCTCATGCTGTTGATCACTGGATTGTCTGGTCCAGACTCGATTATTTATAGACCACCACCATATAGCTGGAATATTGCTGAGTGCGGTGTACAACTAAACTCACTCACTTACTCAGAGAGGTATTATCTCAGAAGGTAACACTGGATTTGTATGAGGTTGAATATTTATGTGTTCTTTGTAAAGGAACAATTAACTGACTTTTCAGGATGGCTGCTGAAGCAGTTCGCTTTTGTTGTGTAGCAAGTGACATGTTGGACAGGTCAGGCTGCTGTTAGTAAATGGATGGTTGACAATGTCATAGTGAGCTGAAAATGTGACAACGGTAATGCAATGAAAAGGTTGTTTAGTTAGTATGAAGCATAACTGTATCACAGTGTCAACCCCATCCCAAGTGACATCACATTTGTGTCACCACTGTTGGAGTGCATGCCACAGATCACCTTCCCCAGGCAAAGGAATGAGCTAATTTGAAAGTAGAGTTTCCTCCCTTGTGTAACTAAGATGGAATTTCTGAGATAAAGTTGTCACACTGTCCAGCCAATGGAAACAACAAATAACATGGAGTGCAGATTTCTGTGGTTCACAGGATTTGAAAAAGATATGCTGTCAACAGGGCAATCAAAGATGTTTTCACATTTTTGTAGTTTAACTTGCTCAAGTGATTTGATGCACTTTAAGACTGGTTTTATTACAAAACAGATTTTTGATCAGACCATTTCACACCATTTTGTTTGAAGAGTGATGGAGTTTGCAAGATGGAATCTGAATGAGCCACTGGTAGTACTATAATCTAGATATGATATTCCAGCCTAGTTCTGCAAGAATGGAAACTGGACTTTGATAGTTAGTGAACTTTCATACATGGAAAAGGTTACATTTAACCATTGTCTAAAAATGAATATGACAAAAGCTATTGGTTTTGCAAGTGTTTACTGATCACAGTTGTCATAAATATACAGGATTTTATACTTTAGAATATGATGGTATGTAGAACTGTCCAAGGCTTCACTTTACAGTTCAGGAAATGAGCTCAAACCAAACAGTTTAGCGTTGGTTTAAAGGATTACACTCTGCTATATACACTGATCAATGTCCTTTGTTTATACATGCATCTAATCCCAGTCATTCAGCTATCTGCCACACACAACAAGTCCTCATCAGTTTCCACGCACAAAGTTGAGGGACGACGACACAGCCTTCTTGCTGTACTCCCCTGCTGTATCCGGTGCTGATGACGCGTAGTGGAACACAGTCTTCACCCCTAAAACACATCATGTAATCAACATCATTCACTGAGTCAAAGGACAAAACACAGAGCTAAGTGTCAGGCCTTCCTGGTTCGCCCCGTTTTCCAACAGGCCTCCCAAATCTAAAGATCTTTCGGCAGTCAGTCCAAGATAGAAAGTTTTTGAAACTGAAGTCATGGTGATGCATGCTGTGGAAATTATCCTTAAAAATATACATGAATGAATGGCAGGACAGCTTGGTAATCTCTCCATTTCACATTCTGCACATACCTCATAAATAACCTTGCTTATCCCTCCTTAGGCTTTGTGGTCCTCAACAGTCAAGGAACACAAGAGAGAATTAGAATTCATAGTACACTAATGTGAGAATACACACACAATGTTATATGTAATATATGTAACATATATTACATTTGGGGTTAGCCACGGTAGCTAAGTGGGTCAGGCATCTGACTTAGGGACCATTCATAATTTATGGCTGTATGTGGGTGGGTGCGTGTGTGATGATGATTTTAAGGGGGGTCACCCATTTTGTTGTGGCGAGCTTTGTACATGAGAACATGTTTAAAATTATGCTTAGAAATTATGGGTAGATGGGGGGGGGGGGGCTTGATTTTTTGCACATGGGGGTTGTCACTTATTTTGTACATAAATTTTAGGGGGGTCATTCACATTATACCAGCTTATGTGAGAGTTACTATCCATGCATACCAAAAAATAACAAGCTTACCTGAGTTCCAGCCACTTAACACTGTATTGTTGACATCATCTAAAGATGGAATCTGAAAGGAAAGAAGAAAATAATTTATCACAGAGGATATTGTTGATTCTTCCTGGATGAAATAGATATTTAAGTCTGTTACCATGGTTACCATGCATACTTGCGATGTTGCCTACCTGTTTAGCATAATCACTGGCAGCAGGCAGGACAGATCCCTTCACCTTCTCCAGGGCCTGACTGCCATTGCTGCTGTTGCTCCACACACCCTGGTCAATGGTCACATACACGGCACCAGCACCAACTGCTAGCTTGCTGGCTAGCCTGTAACAAAATATTACACTAAATTTTTACTGATTTAATATTTTCTTTGCCTAAGCCTAAGAGCCTCTGAGCAAAGTTGTTGAAAAAGGCGCTATATAAATACAAACTTTAATTATTATTATATTTCTCAAAATAGGGAAAATAATTGTCCAGATTTCCTCAGATGAGAAAGCGTGTTTATTTTACTATATTTTTGTATGTTTATATAACAGGGTTTTGGGGGACTGGCAAAATGGCCTATGTTAATGCCTAATGCACACATGCACAATAAATTACACATATAAATAGGTCTGTGTATCGCCATTGAGGTAAACATATTACGAAAAATTTGGGAGCTTAAGTGTTTGATCATTGTTTAGTGATGTTCCGATGATCGAAAATCGATTGAAAGAAGTTTAAAAAATGATTATCGATTGTCAAAAACACATTTTCGATTACTCGGAATTTTGTTGCTTTTGTATAACACCCTTGAATGAAGTAAACTAACCATCAAATCTGATGAATATTCACGAACAAACATGCGCTCCACAGCGTAAGGCTATGCACATTATAAACTTGTAACCACTTTTATTGTTTAATTACAATTCCCGCCCCATTTCATTGCATGACAGCATTAGTGATTAAAAAACCCCACATTAATTACAATTAACAAAATAAACTGGGGAAAAACCCTTAAAATTGGTGACTACATTAAAAATGTATATAATTCGATTAAAATCGATAATCGTTCACCACAATCCTCCAATAATCGATAGTGGATTTGGTTTCCGATTATCAACACTATCATTGTTGACACCAAACGCCACTGACTGATTGTAAGTGCAGATCCTATATTTTCTACATAACAAGGACGGTGAAGGACCTAAAAATATATGCCATAGTTCTGATAACAGCAATCTCAAAATTTGGTTGAATAACTTGCGATTTTATACAATATTGACTATGCTGAATATGCCGTTTTGTCAATGAATTACGAAGGGAAACAGTAACTGATTATAAATCGAAGATTTCCAGTAGAATTAGAATGACTGGACACGACATTGGGGCTGTCGGGGGGTCCAGCAGTCACCTGCAACAGCGTGGCTTCTATTCTAGTAAACTAGTTGTATGTGTTTAAGGGCCATGTTAAGGTACGGGCTAGAATGCACTTTACCGGTACGTTTTGCTTTAGATACATAAGATATCCCTTCATACCAACAAAGGTGAATATTTTGAAACTAAACTCACTTTACCAAGGTCGTCGCCATTTTGACAGCATGTACTATTCCACATTAGCAATCGTTCATTATTACTCGACACACTGAATCCATCTATTACAGTTACAAGTAAAAGTTAGTTTGGCTCGTTAGTTTTTATTTATTATCCTGGTATTTTTTTTAAATTTTAACATAAATAGTCATGTGGTATCAAATGAAATCGATACCGGTGAGAAAATATACGTAACTATAGATAGTTGTATGTGTTATATTCTTTGTGCCAAAGCTGGTTCCGGGCTCCCTTTGCGCACGCCACCTTGCGTATATTGCAATATGCGAGACGGGGCCCAGCTTATTCTGTGCCCAGTAAGCTGGTATCGGACAATCTTTGCGCGTCGTCCACTTGCGATATGTGAGACGGGGGCCAGCTGAGGGTTTCTGTCGACGGTCCGAGCCCAGAAAATCTATCCGTGTCGAGTCGAATCTCTGCCCAGAGAATGCGCATTTTTCAAACAAAAACATATTATTATGTTCGATGATCGAAAATCGATTGAAAGAAGTTTAAAAAATGATTATCGATTGTCAAAAACACATTTTCGATTACTCGGAATTTTGTTGCTTTTGTATAACACCCTTGAATGAAGTAAACTAACCATCAAATCTGATGAATATTCACGAACAAACATGCGCTCCACAGCGTAAGGCTATGCACATTATAAACTTGTAACCACTTTTATTGTTTAATTACAATTCCCGCCCCATTTCATTGCATGACAGCATTAGTGATTAAAAAACCCACATTAATTACAATTAACAAAATAAACTGGGGAAAACCCCTTAAAATTGGTGACTACATTAAAAATGTATATAATTCGATTAAAATCGATAATCGTTCACCACAATCCTCCAATAATCGATAGTGGATTTGGTTTCCGATTATCAACACTTTCATTGTTGACACCAAACGCCACTGACTGATTGTAAGTGCAGATCCTATATTTTCTACATAACAAGGACGGTGAAGGACCTAAAAATATATGCCATAGTTCTGATAACAGCAATCTCAAAATTTGGTTGAATAACTTGCGATTTTACACAATATTGACTATGCTGAATATGCCGTTTTGTCAATGAATTACGAAGGGAAACAGTAACTGATTATAAATCGAAGATTTCCAGTAGAATTAGAATGACTGGACACGACATTGGGGCTGTCGGGGGGTCCAGCAGTCACCTGCAACAGCGTGGCTTCTATTCTAGTAAACTAGTTGTATGTGTTTAAGGGCCATGTTAAGGTACGGGCTAGAATGCACTTTACCGGTACGTTTTGCTTTAGATACATAAGATATCCCTTCATACCAACAAAGGTGAATATTTTGAAACTAAACTCACTTTACCAAGGTCGTCGCCATTTTGACAGCATGTACTATTCCACATTAGCAATCGTTCATTATTACTCGACACACTGAATCCATCTATTACAGTTACAAGTAAAAGTTAGTTTGGCTCGTTAGTTTTATTTATTATCCTGGTATTTTTTAAAATTTTAACATAAATAGTCATGTGGTATCAAATGAAATCGATACCAGTGAGAAAATATACGTAACTATAGATAGTTGTATGTGTTATATTCTTTGTGCCAAAGCTGGTTCCGGGCTCCCTTTGCGCACGCCACCTTGCGTATATTGCAATATGCGAGACGGGGCCCAGCTTATTCTGTGCCCAGTAAGCTGGTATCGGACAATCTTTGCGCGTCGTCCACTTGCGATATGTGAGACGGGGGCCAGCTGAGGGTTTCTGTCGACGGTCCGAGCCCAGAAAATCTATCCGTGTCGAGTCGAATCTCTGCCCAGAGAATGCGCATTTTTCAAACAAAAACATATTGATTAGGCTGTCAGAGCGTATCTCTGTGGTTCCCATCTCCCACCCACCATTGAAAGTTTTGTTATGTCCATTTTCATAATGTTTGGAAATTTCAGTGATAAAAAAATACTCTTCCTTGCACTCTGATAATAAAAGGTGAGCTTGATCTTTCATAATCTATCTTAATGTAAAAATGTACGCGAAGCAAACCGAATCGATCTAGATAATAAATTAATAATAAGGAGCACTCCCGAGTGATCTAAATTTTATAATTCCCCCAAAATACGGTTACACACACGCAGTGCTCTCTCTCTCTCTCGCAGTCTCTCTCTCTCTCTCTCTCTCTCTCCTCTCTCTCTCTATATAGGGTAAAACATAATATCCCTTAGGGAATTCCTTAGAATTCGGGTTAGATCATGACAAACCCATATAGAAATATATAAGAACATAAAAAAATAATTGGGATTTACATACGACGTGAGAGTTATTGCTTGATACTGTATTGTCTTCATGTACTACTTGTCGGTCAGTAATACTGTCAATGTCCCGAACAGAGATTGATTTTTTTCCCGGTGTTATGGTTATCTCCCAATTGACCGACAGTCGATTGACAGACACTGAGCTAGAAGGTTAATTAGGGTAACGCCTACCGGTATAATGGAACAGTCCACTGTCTAGTGCGTAGTTGGGTGAGACTGAAACAGGTTCGTTACTGAGAAGTTTGATTGTGTGTAATTAGAACTTTGTTGTGATTAAATGATAATCTGTCTTAACAACTCTGAGAGCAGACATAAATTTCCAACTCCCTGAAGACCAAGCCAAACAAATCCAGTTTAGGAATGTCCATAGACTTCGGAAACCAAGATATCAAGACACTCGCCCCATAACCACCAACAATGATAGCAGCCTTCGTCTCTATGAAAGACAGGAACTATGTGTTTTAAGCTAAGAAAGTGCTCTACGGCACCGAGAAAACTATACAAACTGACTTACCAACCTCAATGAGAAGAATAAGAGCTGTCCTGAATAAGAGTGCCTATGGACTAAGAAAGGAAAAAGGTCTCTACACACGAGTGAGAGAAAAAGGTATAGATTTAGTGCTGGAAGTCAAACAACTAGACGAACGGAACACTGCCTGGAGGAGAGTGCCTGTACCCATCCCTGACTCACTGGCCCAGTACTGACTCTTGACTCTACCACACCAGACACACGAACTATATGTACCCAATTGATGTTAGTTTAACTTGGAGTAAATTGAAAACATCATGGCTAACTTCGTTATCCATGCCTGTCGTGCCTATCTATAAGATTATATCTCACCATACATTCAGCTTATATAGCGATGTATGTGTGTGTGTGTATGTGTGCGTATATATGTGTATGTACATGTGTATGTGTATATAAGGAATGTTCATCAATCCATATATTTTTGTGTATCAATTCCGTAAGCTAAGGGGATATCATTTACCCAAAAATCACTAAACATGGTGGAACATCACCAAAACAAACTTGTGTATACATCTATTCTCATTAAAACACTCAATGTCAAAATCCGCAATAACAGGTTAAAGCTAAGGTGATAATATGTACCCATGAAACATTCAAATTGATGGGACCATCCCAAAGACAAACCTGTGCACCCATGTATACCCATGTGTGCCCACTTATACACTCAGTATCAATATACCTTGATCTACAACTAAACCGTACAAGACGAAGGTACATCTGACCAAGATGATACCATGAAACTAAAACCTATAATGATATGTAAGCACTACTGACAAGTACTCTATACATTCACTGGTGTTTTACAACACCAAGCCTCAGACACATTCACCGCCATAAACATGTATATTCTATTGGTTTTGGAATTACATGGAATACACAATATGTCGAATCACCTACGTTATTCATACAATCCTTAACGACAAGATTAAAAGATATGTATATTCAAACATGGAGTGAAAGGATATCCTTATCAAATAAATGCATGTATTATCCATTGTTTAAAAATGCCATAGTTCTTGAGTCATATCTATCCTGTGTTAATGTTAAAAAGTTTAGAATAGCACTGGCACGATTCAGGTGCTCTTCTCATGATTTGTTGATTGAAAGAGGCAGATATATGAATGTAAAAAGAGAAAATAGAATATGTACACTTTGTAATTTTAACGAAATAGAAGATGAATTACATTTTCTCCTAATATGTCCATTTTATGACCGGTTGCGAACAAAATATTTTAAAGATACTACTATGTCCATCCAAATGTGATAAAATTCTCCTCATTGTTAAGTAGTAAAAATCCAGTTCTTCTACAAAATATTTCAATGTTCATTTACTATGCTATGATTACCCGATCTAAATTCCTCTCAAATGTAACATAACTTTATGTACTATAGGCCTGTGGCCTTCTCAGTGCAAATAAAGATTATTATTATTATTATGAGGGAATGTATATACTATATGATACGGATGTATTATCTCTATGTGTGTGCAGATATTATGTGAATGTGCATATGTGTATGATCATGTGTATGATATGTGTATGATATGTGTATGATATGTGTATGCATGTATATGCTTGTCCTACCATGAGTATTTGCTGTTTTACATTAACTTGGCCCTGACAATACCTTGATGAATATATTTTCTACTATATAGTAATGCATAATAATGTATATAGTATGTCACATAATAATGTATATAGTATGGGACCAGTCTTTCTTCGAATAGGCAAAATTTGAAAAACTCACCCATATATACTTATAATCATGTCCAATCCAGTCCTAACAATCATAGCAAATACAACAAAATACAACCAAACCTAATCCAACTCACAACATCACACAGCTGACACAACATGATAGACCATATACAACAGACTATCAAGACCAACAACCTGACACAGATCTCCACAGAATACATGAACTCAACAACAAAACGCATCAAAATACACAAATATACCACTAGAATCACCTATATAGTTGCTCATAATAATACACACTATCAAATCAACTTTGAACTTCGTAATTACCATGAAACAAAGACACACATAAATTAAAGCAAACACAACATATTACAGCATGTCAACCTACACCAAACAAATCATGAAATTTGTTTTTAAATTACCAGACCCCACTTGAGGGGATTAAAGTGAAAATCGTGCCTTTGTTATAACAGCTTGTCATACTTGGCAAACATGTCAAGCCTAACATAGAATTTTAATAACGACAACAAATACTAACAACTACCTTTAGAAAAAGTGTCTTATCCTATAACTTGTAAATTAAAAGCACT